CTTAAATGTATGTTCCATTCAAAGGATGAATCTTTAAATGGAATTATGATTATACAATTTTTCTCATTCCTTTTTTCCAGTGGTTTGGGGAGGGTTGTAGAGTTCTGTAAAATCAGAATTATCTGCCATGTCGACATTTGGAATGATCTTAATATTTTATATAGTATTTGCATAGATTAGAATTATCATCATAGTTCATATTCTACTTTGATGGTGATAGGAATAATTTCTGTCATTAATCCAGATGTGTAATAAAATATCAGTTTAACAACATAACTTTTTACCAAGGGGTTTTTACATGCATTGGTCTAACTTCAGACTTTTTTCCAATAGCAGAAAACCTAGATGCCTCATCTAAACTTGACATAGTAAAAAAGGCAAATAATTTACAACAAAAATATTAAGATATAAGTTTAAAGAAGCCTCAATAGTGTGTCTCCTTCATTCAGTTAAGGTAACTTGGTGTATATGTATATTTCTATATTTTCAGACCTTGTTGTGTACAGATCCTCCACGATATGAAATTGACAGCATTGAATTTAACAGTACAAATAGTTTTCTGGCAGTATGGGGAAGCTCAGGTGTCATGGTTATGGAAATGCCACAGAGATGGGGGAAGTATTCAGAATTTGAGGGAGGAAAACCAGTAGTTATTTGCAAGTAAGGCTCAGAAGTAAACCCTCTTTTACATATGCTTCTGTTTTTGTAATCTCAATTCAATGCAAAGCTTAAGCGTGTAAGAATTTAATTTTTAAGTACTTTTTTCTCTTTCCAAATTTTGTCTCTTCCTTTATTTGATATTTGTATTTGTGTTACTCTCTTTCAGAACAACCAGTGTTGCAGAGCATTACTTTGCTAGTCACAAAAGTGTACAGATTCTCCATGTGGCCTGGCATCCTGGCAGTGACACCGATTCTCACCTGACGATACTCACCTCAGACAATCTCTTAACGTAAATATTTAATCTCTAAACTGTTTGATAATTCATCCATATATTACTTGTTATCCTTTCAACATTTTTCTAAAAAAAAATCTAGCATAATGCTGCATTTAGTTTAATTCTAAAATTGTTACAAAAAGAGCATTTTTGCTGCACATTTCTCTTTAATATTTACCATTTCTCTTTAAAATTGAAAATGTCTTTTTTCTACATTTTCCTTTAGTACTTATGATTTGAAGGAGCCAGATATTCCCATTCACTCCGTGAAGCTTGGCGATTCTGTGCAGGAACTAACAGATTCTCCAAACAAGCCTTCTTACAGAGCAGCGTTAGGCGAGGTGGCAGCTTCCTTTGACTTTGGTCCTTCAGTGGAACTCAGAAGAAAGAACCGTCTTCACTCAACACTTGTTAACCCTGACGAAGTCTGGCCAGCTTATGTAGTATATGGGAATGGAGATGTCAATATTGTATATACTGATGTCACTCCAGATCCTACAGGGTATTTGTGACTTTCATATCAATGTTCTTGGGTCAGGGTGTTGGTGAATTTTATATCAATGTTTTTTTGGTCCAAGTAGCATCGTCAATTTTACTTGAACAAAGAGCAAGTTTTATATATTCTAATTCTTACTTTGTGGAAAGTTATGCTGTTTAAAATGATTTTCTTTGGGCAATACAAAAATTTTTTACTATATTTGACAGATTTATTAAATATTTTTAAAAAAATGTATTGTTTGCTTTTTCTGCAGCATGAAGCGACAGAGTACCCAGGGGCCTTTACTGATGCACCCCCCTGCCGAGGACAACTATGGATTCGATGCCTGCTCTATAGCCATTCTTGCCACTAGCCCACCAGTGTTAGTTATGGCTACAAGAGATGGAAAACTCCACCACTGTCTGGTGATGCAGTCTGATTTGAGGGATACCACTCTTCAGGTTTTGCAAGATGTCTAATCTATTATAGAGTAGAATATGGAAAAATCTATTTAAATTAACAAGATTTATTTAAACGAACAAGAAATCTAAATGGGGCAGATATAGAAAAAAGTAATCTCACCAGATACCATATACTGATGTCATGAAAATATGACATGAAAATTCGCTTCAGATCAATAGTATATGTATATAGTTGCTGAAAATTATATGTGCATATATATGAATAAACTATGGTCATATAATGAAAATTATAGGCACAAAGACATGAAATACAATTTAACTTTGATATCTGGAACAGTGATATCTCAAAAACCTAAGTCAAAGTTATTTTAAAATCCCAACTATTTATTCTAAAGGAATCCCTGTTCCCTCAGTCCCATTGAGTTCAAGATAACAATGTTCAACTGAAATATGTATGTACAGTTATTTGAACTGAGATAATATTTCAGTCGGAGAGTCATTCTGAGAGTTCCATTGACTCGAGCCTTCTGTACGAGACCCCAGAGGAAGTTTCACTGTACGTCTACGAGAGCGTGGAACTGGAGTTGTCCCTGACAACCAGCTCTGTAGAAACTGATGAGTACATAGAGGACACATTTACCTGTCCAATCAAAATCATCAAAGGTAATTTACACTGACGTGGCTTAAAAAAAATACAAGTGTATTTATCTAAATAAATAGCTGAATGCAATACCTTATTTACCCATTTTGTGTTATTATTTTCTCATGTCATTTGAATATTTCTCAAAAATCAACTGTTTTAATAGAGTACCTTCACTATTTTTATTGAAATTAAAAAAAACATTAAATATTCCAAAGTATTTTCACTGCAGAAGCTCTAAGTTAGGATTTTGGGTTGGTTTTTTTTTTTTCAAGGAATAAAAATGACCACTGTTTTATCCCAGCTGATGCAAATATGTATTTTCAAATATTTTTCCAAACCATTGAAGACACCTGAACGCCCTACTAGTCATTAAAAATGAACAAGTATCATCAGATATATTTACCTCATAGTGGTAAAATATTACAGCTGTGATTGAATGTGTCATAAAATTGGTCCTCAAGTTGGGAATTCAACCCATAACACAAACATTTTGGACTCTTAGATTAATTGTTTATGTTGGAACTCATAAATCAAAAAAAAAAAGTTCATTCCATTTATATTTGTTTGAATTATTATGTGGCAATTGGTGCCATATTTGATAACAAATGGCACCAATTTAACAAAATTAGAATGTTTAGTTTTACTGAAAAATGATGTTTTTTAAAAAGAAAATTAAGAAATACCTAATGTGCTGAAAAAAATTAGAATTTCATTTTAAAATTTAATTTCAGTTCAATAATTTAAAGGTGCAAACTACATGTACTATATCAGTACAATCAAACTAGGTGCAACCTCCCTCTCTGACTGCTTAACCAATCATAAATAGTACAATACGGTTAGGTCTTGAAGATGTTAAGCATTACATTTAGTTTACATTGTGTGTATACAGCTTATAGAGCCTACATGTACATGAATTAGTGATGAAGCTACGTGAAAGGTGGTAAAATATGATTACCACTATAAAAATATGAATATTTTAGTTTACAGCATTTATAAAAAAAATAATAATGATAACTTTAAAATGCTTTTCTCTAGACTTCCAGACTTATAGTTGTAAAGTGACGTTTTCCTACAAGTAAAATTTTATTTAGATTGGTTATTAATCTTCGTAATGTTTGAAGTTCTAAGCTTTAATTGTCTTCTACATCACGTGAAAACAATCAATAGTCATACCTGCAATGACACTTGATAAAACAATAGTTTCTAGAAGTGAATTTCTTGAAAAAAGGAAAAATTTAGATTGTTGTCAATATCTTAACAAATGTTTTGTGTTAAACTGAGGAATTGCTCAATTTTTAGCTCACCTCAACGAAGTTGGGGGGAGCTAATGTGATACCCTCGGCGTCGGCGTCCCGGGTTAAGGTTAAGTTTTTTGGAGCAGTTTTCTTTACTTCTATGTCCTATATTGATTAGACATGCAAGGAAGATGTTTCTAATGTGTTTCATTGTACCAGTCAAAGTTTCAGATGCTGCAATTTCAGCAAAGGAATGACGAGGTTAATGTTTTTGGTGCAGGTTAACATTTTTGGTGCAGTTTTTGGTGTAGGTCTCATTTCCGAGTAACTATAAGCCCTATGTTGACCAAACTTACATGGATGGTACATCTTAGGATGCATACTACCAGACTTGCTTCGGATGCTGAATCTGACCTACATTTTCCGGTTGAGTGAACAGGTTAAAGTTTTTGGTGCAGGTTTCATTTCGAAGATACTATGAGCCCTATAATGACCAAATTTGCATGGATGGTACATCTTAGGATGCATTCTACTAGACTTGCTTCTGATGCTGAATCTGACCTACATTTTCCGGTTGAGTGAACAGGTTAAAGTTTTTGATTCAGGTTTCATTTCCAAGTTTCTATGAGACATATAATGACCCATCATCGCAAACCACGGCCCAAATGTACGATCCTCTCCCATTCTGGCCGTGGTTGAACGAAGAGAGAACTCTTCGTAACTCATTAAAAATTTGACCAATGCGAGTAAAGCACAGTCGGATGATGAACTTGATCGCGACCTTTCAATGTCCAATCACAGTATAGGAAATATTTCTTGTATACTGTTGACGTCAGTTTGATTTCAGTTGCGATGGAAACAAAACTTGCCATTGACTGAATATGACGTCACAATAGAGAAGTGTAAATATTCAAGATTACGACACTTTTTGTCGCGGGTAGGAGAGAGCTATGTGCAGACTCCGGACCGTGGCTTGAGATGATGATAATGACCAAACTTGCATGGATGGTACATCTTAGGATGCATACTACCAGTCTTGCTTCGGATGCTGAATCTGACCTACATTTTCCGGTTGAGTGAACAGGTTAAAGTTTTTGGTGCAGGTTTCATTTCCAAGTTACTATGAGACATATAATGACCAAACTTGCATGGATGGTACATCTTAGGATGCATATTACAAGACTTGCTTCTGATGCTGAATCCGACCTACATTTTCCGGTTGAGTGAACAGGTTAAAATTTTTGGTGCATGTTTCATTTCCAAGGTACTATGAACCCCATAATGACTAAACTTGCCTGGATGGTACATCTTAGGATGCATACTACCAGACTTGCTTCGGATGCTGAATCTGACCTACATTTTCTGGATGAGTAAACAGATTAAAGTTTATGGTGCAGGATTCATTTCCAAGTAACTTCGAGCCCTATAATGACCAAACTTGCATGGATGGTACATCTAAGGGTGCATTCTACTAGGCTGGCTTCAGAAGCTGAATCTGACCTACATTTTCCGGATTAGTGAAAATGTTAGTTTTTTATACAGGTTTCATTTCCAAGTAACTTTGAGCTCTATGTTGAACAAACTTGCATGGATGATACATCTTAGGATGCACACTAATGGACTTGCTTCAGATGCTGAATTCGACATACATTTTCCAGATAATAGACCTCGTAAAAGTTATGGATGCAGGTCTATCACCAAGAAACTATAAGGCTTATATAAACCAAAGTTGCACAAATGATGCATCAAGGGATGAAAACTCTCAATCTTGCTTCAGATGCTGGATTTTAATTACATTTTCATGATGAAGAACTAGTTTTAAGTTTTTATATAAGTCTATTCCAAAGTATCAAAATTGCATAAATTTTGCATTTTTGGATGTACACTTTTTGTTGGTTAATTGTGTGACTTAATTTGCCTTACTTAAAGACAACATTCGTTGAGGTGAGCCCTGTAATCTCTGATTACCTATGTTTCATTCATCTTATAAAATGTTATAAAATGGACAATATAAGATTTCAAATAGTTCAGCTTTAATGTTGTAATAGAACAAATGAAACAGACACAAAAAAAACTTTTCAAATTATGATTCAAGAAATACTTTTAGTATGTCTTAACATTGCTTCAATATTGATATTAGTAGTGTTGTTGTCTGTGTGTGAAAAAACTAGAAAAAATGACGAAATTCTTTGCATTGTTTATGTTGGACTCCAAGATGGACAGATAAATAGTGTGTTTGTTGGACCTGAAAGACAAATGTCAGTTTTATGTTTAAATTTCTTTTAGTTTTTATATAATGATAAGTATATAATATTTGCATAATGTTGAAAAATCCATATGGAAACTTAGCTAGATTATAAAGTCTCTTAAACTTGTATACAGATTATAAATATGCAGCCCTATTTTGGCTGTAAATGAAGTTTCTTTAGGCTTCATTCATTAGTTTCAAATTAATTGGACTCCAGCAGTTGTTATTTTGCCACAATTAATGCAGGTCATTATGGGATGAGGGTTTGTTGTGTAATTGTTGTTCATTACTGTTGATATTTTCGGCACGGCTTCACCACAACAGTAAACAAAATTATTCAATAATATGCCAATTTTTGTACGTGCATTATTATCACATGCCTATTATCTGCAGTTCATTTACGTTTCAATTTATTGTATAAGTGCACACTGATTTTTTTTTGTGTGTGTGTGAATGGAGATAAACCCTTTTATATTTAAAGTAAAATGTATTTTGAATTTAACTTTCTATGCCCTTAATTAGATTTTCCAGATAATATACTAGGAATTATGAATTTTGAGAGTTTATTCTTGACAGGAACTGTTAATCATTTACTCTCAGTAATATGTTAAAACTTATTTACCATATCTTAAGATAACCAGTCAGTGTTAATTTTACTGGACAGATCATTAGTTAGAGAGAAAACTGAAGAGAACAAGTGGTGAATACCTAAACCAATGATAGCTAGGAAAGCCGTTTTAGCCAGTGTCAAGAAGGTTTTCAAAGGCACTTATTGGGCACATAAGCCACTTCTTTAAGCTTCAAATCCCAATGAAGAAAAATCAACTGTACTTGATAAATTTTGTTCCTGTTTTTTAACATTTATTGCATTAGATTTAATGTGAATTAACATCTTTCTTTGTAATTTTTGACTAATTGTTTCTAGTTTTGGATTAGGAAGTTATCAGTCAAAGAGGGGGGCTGATTAATAATTCATGTAGAAAATCTTATGTTGCTGTAAGGATGTTACTTGTATAATGGAATGGCCATATTATTTAATAATAAATTTTAAACTTTTTTTTTTTTCAAGTGGATTGCCATGGAAGGTGGACATTGGATAAAGTAATGTTCCCTTGGAAAGTTTTTATAAAACATGAGTTAGGGCCTTAGGTTTACAATAAAACTGGAAGGGAATTTTGGCTCATTGAGCATGTCTTAAGATTTGTCAATACAAAGTCACTTGAACAGTTTATGGTAACAGGCCACTTGGGCCAGGGAAGATGCAATTTCTTTGGATGCCTTTCTTTGTAGCAAATTGAAACTAATGTTTGAAAACAAAATCTTTCTTGAGACTCAACAAAGGTGGGATATATCGCAAGGATTTAATTTATCTTTGAAAACATACAATGTATGAAGATCATTACGTTCTCTTGAATTATGTTATTATAATGGATTTTTACTAGACAATTACATTAAGAACATGTCAACATTAAGTTAGATTTAAATTTTGTTAGAACTTAGAAAAAAATTTTGAATTTTTGAAATTTGTTGTTGTTGA